GCGCAGACAAAAGCAAAGGAATGATCCGCTTCACGCTTTACAGCAGGACATATCTAGCATGTGTGTTACTAGAGATCAAGACTGTCGGAGAGATTTCTGACAGCTGTGGTGGAAAAAAAAGATCCCCAAGTGAGAAAGTTCATTAAGAAAGTTATTAGAGTGATCATAAAAAAACCTTATTAAATTAATTAATTATTAAATTAATATGTGACCCTGGAGCACAAAACCAGTCTTAAGTCGCCAAAAAAACATTGTATGGGTCAAAATTATCGATTTTTTTTTTATGCCAAAAATCATTAGGATATTAAGTAAAGATTATGTTCCATGAAGATATTTTGTAAATGTAAATATATCATAAATATATCTAAACTTAATTTTTGATTAGTGATATGCATTGCTAAGAACTTCATTTGGACAATTTTAAAGGTGATTTTCTCAATATTTTGATTTTTTTGCACGCTCAGATTCCAGATTTTAATATAGTTGTATCTCAGCCAAATATTGTCCTATCATAACAAACCATACATCAACGCAAAGATTATTTATTCAGCTTTCAGCTTTTACACACATAAATCTCAATTTCAAAAAATGTACCCTTATGACTGGTTTTGTGGTCCAGGGTCACATATTTAAATCTGGGATTGAATCTGAAATTGTGACGATTGTCACCGTGATAACCATAGCAGCGGATGGGAGAAAAAAATCTGAAAAACTGAATCTTGAAGTGTAAATGAAAACTAGTAGACTTGCCACTTGTTCTATATAATGAGTTCCTTTGTTCTTCATTTTATTAGTAGCTTTTTACTTGACCTTTTTAAAGCAATGTTTTCTTAATTGAAAAATAAGGCTACATGCTGTTTTAATGTATTTACTTATTGTTTGCATTAATAATTAACTCATTCAATTTATTTAATATTTTTTATTATCGAATAGCTAAATAAAATAGTTAAGTAGTTCCAATAATTTTTGCTATGGTACCAAGAACTAAGAAATTTTACTGGTATTGGTACTGACGAGACATTTTGGTAACACTAGTTTTTGTGAGAGCATCCAATTGTGAATTCAATATTGGGAATTTAACTTTTAATTGTTACACCCTTAATCATTTATTTTTTACTATAAGTATAGTCTGAAAAATCCACAGAGAAGTCTGGAAAAGTGTCATTTTGTAATGGAAAATGCGCAGGAACCCCGTGTTTAGCATTATGTAAGCTGGCAAAATGTCCGGTGTGGTTTTCAGCTCTAGTTTAGCATGTAATGGTAATTCTGGAGTTCAGGTATAGACCAATAATGCTGCACAGACCTGAGGTGTCAGCACTCATTTCCTGCTTCGCTTGATTTATTTGCCAAAATTACGATTGTGGAATTGCAGGTCTGCGCCCGCTGTCTCAATATAACTGATGCATTATTTGATCATATGGCACAATATTTATTCATACTCTTGTAATTCTTTTTCTCATTTTAGAAATGAACTGCGGGTTTGATGTTGGAGTAGATAAGATAAGAATTGACTGTATTCTCTTTGCATATTGCTTGTTTGACCGTCAAGACTGTCGGAGAGATTTCTGACAGCTGTGGTGGAAAAAAAAGATCCCCAAGTGAGAAAGTTCATTAAGAAAGTTATTAGAGTGATCATAAAAAAACCTTATTAAATTAATTAATTATTAAATTAATATGTGACCCTGGAGCACAAAACCAGTCTTAAGTCGCCAAAAAAACATTGTATGGGTCAAAATTATCGATTTTTTTTTTATGCCAAAAATCATTAGGATATTAAGTAAAGATTATGTTCCATGAAGATATTTTGTAAATGTAAATATATCATAAATATATCTAAACTTAATTTTTGATTAGTGATATGCATTGCTAAGAACTTCATTTGGACAATTTTAAAGGTGATTTTCTCAATATTTTGATTTTTTTGCACGCTCAGATTCCAGATTTTAATATAGTTGTATCTCAGCCAAATATTGTCCTATCATAACAAACCATACATCAACGCAAAGATTATTTATTCAGCTTTCAGCTTTTACACACATAAATCTCAATTTCAAAAAATGTACCCTTATGACTGGTTTTGTGGTCCAGGGTCACATATTAGTAATAATGTGGTAAATTCGAGTATTAAATTAAAGTATTATTTTAGTTTGAAAGTATTTATGGAAGGTCATTTCCACCACAGGATAATTTTTTTTTTTTAAATTTACTAAATTTACCTCTCTTTCTTTTTGCAATTCTGATTTTATATCTCACAATTATTATTATTATTATTTTTTTTTTTTGCAATTTTGAGTTTATATCTCATAATTCTAAGGAAAAAGTTAGAATCGCAAGATACAAAGTAAGAATTACTTACTTTGTAATAAGATATAAACTTGCTATTCTGAGAAGAAAACTCAGAATTGTGAGATATGAACTCATAATTGCGAGAAAAAGTCAGAGTTGTGAGATTAAAAAAATCGCAGTTACCTTTTTTTATTAAATTCTGTGGCGGAAACAAATAAAACAATTGCGAGATATGGAGTGCTTTTTTTCTCAGATTTGCGAGAATAATTGGGGAAAAAAAATTGCAATTACTTAAAGTTATTATTATTATTATTATTATAAGTTTGGGAAGATTATTGGAACAAATATAACTATTATTATATTATTACAAATATTATTATTGTTAGTATTATTATTATTATTATTATTAATTACTCTTATTATTTGTATTGTAGTAGTATTATTATATTACTAAATAAAAATATTAAACAAAATCTGAAAATGTACTACTGTAATTATATTTCCATATCTATGTAGCGTCTGGACCAATCAAACACACAATTTTTCATTTGATTTAACAAATCAGTTCTTCATTAGATTAACAAATCGCCACAGTCCCCTCACCCAATAAACTGGATGCCAGGATGTCTGCAAATGACACCAAACCATGGCAACCCTGACACCAGATACTTTTACGACCTCATGGAATGTGAGCAGGGAAAAGCACTGTCTTTTCATAAGGAAAATCCCCAAGGCACAGTAGGAATGGACTTTTCTACTAATTAATTCATAGGAAAAAATTTATTTGAATGAACACACATAGCTTTCAGGTCATGGTGTATATTATTGTCATCGTGTATTTTGTCTTTGAGATGGTATACTGTTTTATGCAGGCTTATGATCGAAACACTCACTCCTGTCAGCTTACATATATATATAACCCTACCATGTTTAGTATCTATGAATTAGTATTCGGATGATCT